CCGCCCCGCCACTTGTGGGGGGAAGCGTCGGTGCACTTAATTTTAAATTTTATTTAATGTTGTTTTGGTTTATTTTTTTTAGCTTGTGAAAAGGATGTTCGCGGGGGAAGCTGGTCACCTAAATGAATATGTCCTGATAAAGTGGAGATGTTTCTGCACGATTCTTTTCCATCTTATGAATTTTTGGAAGACGGTGATTGAAGGAACCAGGGAGCCGATAGCGACAAGACGGATTTTTTTTTACTTTTTATTTCTTATTTTCTCACCACCCCCTCTTTTTGATTCCCACCTCGCGGCGGGGCCTTGTGGCTGGCGGAGCCCAAGGTCTGCCACGTCGTAAGCAATAAAAAAATATACATATGTATTTTATCCGAATAGAGTGAACGGGCCACAATTGAGCCTAACGGATGGTGTTTATACATATATACACTTAATTGGTGTTATACGTTGAGGATGTGGTGAATCCATTCTTATTCCATTCATTTCTTTTGTATTTGTTTCTGGGTTTGGTTTCTATTATTGATAACTTCAGGATTCGGCCAGCAGTCCAGTTGAATATTCCACGCTCAAAGGCAGGTACCGGTGGTACCGGTAAAGCAAAATATGGGTGTACCGAACCTAAGAGTAAGTGAATTGATAATTGTGTATAAACCCATAAGTAAAAGAGATTTATTGGATAGTTGATATGTGTGATGTGTCTTAATATACGATTGAATTACAGTGTTGCTTTAATAGTTGGAAAACTTTAATATATGAAGTGAATAAAGTAGAAATTAGGTGTTTTTTTCCTGTGCTGATTAAGGCAATATAAGTTTTTCGAGCCATTATACCACTCACATTGACAAAATAGCCTGATCTTAAAAGCAGTTACTGGGGCTCATTTTTTATATTTTATGCGACTTCGTTATTTATTTATTTCCCACTGCGTAACACTGTATACCCCTTTTCTTATTAAGTGTATTCTTGACTTTCCTGGATACCTTGAAGAAGAAATTCAAAGGCGAAATTTTGACCTAAAACTAACCCATACGGCAAAGAAAGATTGGACTTTTTTTTCTTGTCTGTGTGCGTGTGTGTCATTGGTTGCTGGATTTTGTAGTGGTCTGAAACAGGTTGCCAACGTGCACAACTAACAGGAACTAATATTTATTTTGCATCGTTGTTTCATAAACCTATTTTTGACTTTGGTTTCTGTGTTTTGAGTTTTAACTTAGTTGCAACAAAATTGCTTTTGGAAATTTTTCTCCAAGAATCTATGTGGGGGCAATTTACAACCCGGGTTTAGAAGAGAGCACGTAGCTTATGGTTTTACCAAAATTTCTTTTGGCATTTGATGTGAATGAGATTGTGATGGGGTATTTGTTCAAATGGGAAGAAATGAATGAACGCTTTCTTTGTACTGTTTTCTTTCTCTATTTGAGGACAAAGCCTTCGGCTTGTTGAAAAAAAAAAACCTCATTGAAATAAACCCGTCTGTCCCCATCCTTTCTTGGAGGCGAAAGGGGAGCCTTTAAAATTTTTTTAGTCGTGCGTGAAAATTGTTGGTGTAATAGTTATTTTAAACGGCATGGTAAATAATATTTGACTTCTTAATGACTCATGCCAGCGAATAATCATTAAAACTGAGATCTTTTTGCATAATGGATTACAATTATTGACTGAAAAAATTGATTTTAATAATAATAATAATAATAATAATAATGAACGATAATAATAATAATACTAATAAAATAAACTATATAGAGGTTTATTTGGACATGTTTTTACGGCTTATTGCTATCATTATTGTTTTATTTGCTTGTTATCAATATTGTTGTTGTTTAAAAACCATTGATTTAACTATTCAAAAATAAATTGTTTTTATTTTTATTTAAATAGGAGCTTGTGAAAAGAATGATCGCGGGATAGCTGGCTAACTTAATTAATGTATCTATATCCTGATAAATGAAGGCATTCTTTATGATAATTTCTACCGTATGAATCTTTTGGGAAGAACGCGACTTTGTAGGGGCAGGGAGCCGATAGGGGCTGGATAGTATTTGATTTTTATTTTGACACCCACCCACCCCCTTTTGATTCCCACCTCGCGGCGGGGTCTTGAGGCTGGAGGACCCCAAAGTCTGCCACTTCGTAAGTAATAAATACTTCAAATCCTAACTGAGGACAAAGGACCATGCTAGTGGTCCACAGAATTCTATATATATTGAAAAGAAAACATTGAAGCAATTAACTAACGAACCTTTTTTCCTAACTTGTTTGGTTTCCATAGGTTATTTCACGATCCGGCCAGCTGCCCGGAAGATTATTTTTTTTTGGTTTGCTATTGTTGTTAAGAGTTTATTTAAAAAAATCATGAAGTGGAAGAGGTTGACTACCGTCGAAGGAGCGATAGTGGTGTTAGAAGTAAAAAAAAAAGGTAATATTAATTAAAATAAACTAACAATAATGCGGTCAAAATCAATAACCGTAAGCAATCTGACAAATGTATAAATAATGGGAAATCTGTAATTGCTACACAGGCAAATCACATTGGAATAACGCTGTGCGGTCTTTTCAGCGTCGTCTTGTTTAAGCGGTTAACCGAAATACTAATACTACTACTAATAATGATATTACTACTACTACTACTACTACTACTACTACTACTACTACTACTACTACTACTACTACTACTACTACTACTACTACTACTACTACTACTACTACTACTACTACCATTATTATTAAGAAAATTGTTATTGATATTATTATTGTTATTATTGTATTTATTTTTATTGAAGTTATTATTATTATTACAATTACTTTTATTATATTCATTATAGGAGCTTGTGAAGAGAATGATCGCAGGAGAGCTGGCTAACTTAATTAATTTATGTACATACTGATAAATGAAGGCACTCCTTTATGATACTTTTCCTATCTTATGAATTCTTGGCAAAAACACGACTTTCTAGACGCAAGGAAGCGATAGTGGCCAGATAATTTTTTATTTTTATTTTGCCATCCCACCTACCCCCTTTTGATTCCCACAACGCGGCGGGGTCTTGTGGCTGCAGCACCCCAAAGTCTGCCACGTCGTAAGTAAAAAATATATGTCCTATTGGAATAGAGTGAGCGGGCCACGATTGTGGCTAACGGATGGTATATATGAAAAAACACTTACTTGGTGTTATACTTTGAGGATATGGTGAATCCACTGTTATTCCATTCATTCCTTTCTTATTCCTATCTTTTTTGGTTTCTATGATTGAGAAACTCAGGATTCGGCCAGAACCCCAGAAGATTATTTTCTAAAGAAAAACAGGAACTATATATATATATATTATTTTGCATTTTTGAGGAGGAATAAGAGATATATCTATTATAAGAGATGTTTTTCCTTTTTTTCTTCTGACGGAATACAATAAGTCTATGGAATATATATATACATATATAATGGACAAGATTAACCTACCTTTTTTCATTGCACCCGCCAAACCGCCAATATCGCCATGCATAAAACTTATGGAGGTGATATTCCCGAATCAGTCAGCAATTTTTTCCAATTAAAAACTTCAAAAACAACAAGGATCATGATTAAATACAATACATTTGATATCTGCTTTGATGCAAAACGCTTTACTGTCGCACATTTTGGGGTACATTTACAAATGAGGGAGAAAAACGGCTCCAAAAACAACTGCGACAATAAAAGAGTCAATATGAAAAATAAGAGCATTAAAAAATCTCTTTTGAAAAAGCATATTGAAAAGGACCTCGGCACTGGACCAGCATCTAGTGACAAAACGCCCAACAAATAAATAATAGTAACAATAATTGATAATAGATCTTTCTTTCAATTCCTATATTAAGGAAAGCTGAAAAGAATTATTTCTGTCGAATATATTTTTTGCATTAAATTAAAGTAAAAAAGGAATTGTAAAATACGGCACGAATGCCTTGGATAATCCCGCATCTAGAGAAACGTCAACCATAATGCTGACTGAAAACCAAAATAAGTAAAATGGAAATCCGCCAGTACAGGAATTACATGCACGAACTGGAGAGCAACGTGCGTTTTCAGAAGCTGGAAAACCCGAGGCGACATGAATAATAGTCAATCAAGATAAGTAAAATTAATAATGCATCAGTTTCATAAAAGCTTCAATGAGGAGCAAAGCAGCAGCTTCACTGATCAGTATTTGCTTGATAGCTTCAGCAGCTCCTCAACTCCGAAATCAGTGGGGCTGAGGACAGCAGTGGAGCCTCATTCAATGGAGGAACATCCAGTGCAGAATCTGAGAAACCGAGAAATCATCTGAGGCTGAGCCGTTGTTTCACTGAGAGCTTTTGCATCTTCTGTAACGCAACCCGTGTATGCAGGCGGCACAGGTGAGGCTGGCAGAGTTACCGCAATGTTCTCGCTGCTGGGCGCACCCTTTGGTGTACCGGGTATTAACTACGTGACAGTGTTAAGTATGATGCACTGCACGCCTGATGCAACTCGTCGTGCGTTGGGATATTATCGCAGCATTTCTGTGGCGACGATCGAGGACTCTTTCTACGGTGTGATGATAGGCAACCTCATTATTATCGGTGGCGTGCTGTTGGTGCATTTTTTGGTGATTCTGTCGTTGAAGTGGAAAGGCAAAGGTTCATGGACGAGGACGGCGGAACGCTGCTTTTTTCCTGGCATTCCGTTGCTTTTTCTTGTGAATCTATTTGTGGGGACCTCCTTTGCGTCAATGCAGGAGCTTTCATCCAAGGTAGGGTTCACGTTGGTGCTGAGCATCGTCATGCTTCTGCTGTTTGTCGGCGGCCTCATTGTGGTCCTTTGTGTGTCGATGGCGAAGGCACGATTGACATTTTATCCCATTCTGTCTTTGGAGGGCACGACTCTGCTGAGCAAAAACTCGTGTAT